AATAATAATAATAATAATAATCATAGAGAGCATTTGCATAGCGCTAATCACCGCTTAACAGTAAGCTCTATGCGTTTCACAATCTGCACAACCTCAAACTTCCTGGGAAGCATACTTTGCAAGCAGCCATTTATAGGAGCTAAAATACTAACATACTGACAAGATCTATCATCTGTCTATGGCCGGGTACCTATTCACACCTGGAAAATTCGTGTAAAGTGCCTTTCCCAAGGACACAACGTCAGGCCGCGGCTCACGATTACGAGTCAGGTAGCCTAACCACTAGGCCACACTACTATGTATATCTAGAGTATTATTATATGTGAAACACTTTCTTTCGATCGCTGTCTTTGTCTAATTTAATTTGGTTCCTTTTTCTTCTTGATATTTTTGTCCTTCTCTAAATAAAAGGGCGTTTCCTCGTATTCTTGATTTTAAAAAAAATATTTTTGCTTTATTTTTTTTTAAGTTGCTTAATTACACACAAAAAATGAATATCTACAATAATTTGGGCTTCAGGGTTAAGCGGGTTCAAAAGCAAATATCGAGGAGTTTCGACAATTACTGACACCAATTACAAATAGCATACTCTCTCTCTCTCTCTCTCTCTCTCTCTCTCTCTCTCTCTCTTTATAGATAGATAGATAGATAGATAGATAGATAGATAGATCGAAGTTTTACAGTGCTAGCTGTTTATAATGTCGCTATCTCAAAATTGCAAATTTCTAAATGCTCAAAACACAGTTTTCAGAAATTTTAATGTGATTTCTAATTGTTTTACTTTTGCAATATGTCAAGCTTTTTCGAAAGTAATTCTTTGAATATCATAATTACGCCAGGAAATGTTCTTACGATTTTAAAGGAACAGATAGAACATTTGATTTCTGACCTCATGGTCCTAGTAACCCAGATCTGTCAAAAAGGTCAGATAGAACTTTGAGATTCTGAGATAGTGATATATATCATTAGCATCTAGCTACCGTATTGAATTTTCAATAGCGGCCAAGAATTATTGCTTCTCAAATGGTATCCAAAAGGTTCAGATTTCGAGATTCGGTAGGGGGGGGGGGGGGGTTAACATACTAAGGATCTTGGTAATTCTCCTTTCTAAAAAGGTTGGCAAATTTTTTTAAGCATTTTTCTGCCTGAGAGAATCCACAATTATATCCATTCGTTTAGATCTTTGAGGCTAATTATTGTTACCTCACAAACAGAGCCACTGAAGCAGCAGACATAATTAGAAAGCGGAGAAGCGAGAACGGGTAATCGAAGCATAGATGAAATGAAAAACTATTTAACTATTTAAGGAGAAAAGGATAACAAATTAAGCATACAGGGAATCCTGGCGTGCTCAGTGGAAGACCGCAAAGGCGGGATGTAAACGTCACAAACTAACAGCAAATAAATATAATGAAATATATTTTTATAATAATGAAACAAAATTGAATGACTCTAGGGTTGATGAAATAATTATTTATGTAGAACCTGGAAAATCATCAGCTCGAAAACAATTAGGTGGAGTCAAGTGGAAATGTACCCCAGCCAAGAACAGCTTCATTGATCTTACAGTTAGTGCTAAGTTCTGAGAAATTTCCTACATTCTCTTTTCTTGAGTTTTGCCAGCCCAGATCAACGCAACGATGGCCGGAAATATTACCGGTAAGGTGTACGAATCAACGCGATATGTTGAATTCCCTTTGGTTATTAAGACACTTTTTTTTAAAGTCACACTCAGTTGTACCCTTTCAATAACCGCCTGTGTTTTAAGCCCCCACCAATACAATACAGATAATCTATAGCACTAATTACTGATTCGTCCCTCTTTGCCGGAACCAAATTGGGATGAATGGGGGTGGTTTCGCTCTTCCATATCGAACACACACGGCATAAGTTCAGTGCTCGTATAGGAACGTGTTTTTTTTTCTTTTTTGTTCTTTTTTTTCACTTTTAAAAATCTAGTATCTCCGTCAGTCTACAGTAATAGTAGTACCGTTTGCCCCAAGCAGGCAGGATTGCAGGAGAAGTGGATTATTTTGTTTCTTTATGATCTAACTTGTGTAGTAAGGTCTATGACCTATACTTATCCCATGAAGTTAAAGGTTAACATTAGTTCATAATGGACCAACTATTGTCATATTATTATAAATTGTGTCATGCGAAATTTGAGTGGGATGCAACATCCGAGCAGATAGAAGAAAATACTTGAAAGAAAACTTCCCACGTTGGGTACCTACATTTTGTTTGGCAAGCAACAACGCCAAAGAGTGAAACCATGACATCCCGTACGCTAGTAAAATTGTTGATGTGGAAAGAAAAGGTAAATTATAGAAAGAAAACACACATTGGTCGCTTTTAAGGACAAGCGGGCTAACCCAGATTTCGGGGGTTTCCTGAAATCTTGACCTAAACCAAAAGTGGGCATTGCCCTACCTATAGGAGAAGTTTGGTTTCATCTATGTGTATATTTGTTTGGTTATAGAGAAAACTCTTCCTGTCTTTTAAAGAAACTGAACAAGGGTCCAAAAACGTAGCTTCGACTTTCTCAAAACAGCATTTTTCGGGATAGTCCCCTTGTGCTTAAAAGCGACCAGTTAAAACAGCAGAACAATCTTAAATCTGAACCTCTGATCACATAGTTGTTTTAAAGTAACAGCAAATTATAAAAACAAAATAACAAAAAAAATAAAAAGGAAACCTTCATCTCGTCTCAGTAACCATGTGGCGTCGAGGGGGTAAGCAAAATAATGCCTCTCTATTGCTTGTTTTGTCACATACATGTTAATATGTTGTTCTTGATTAGTGTTTCTCTGACGCTTTTATCCATCATTTCTTGGGCCTGCCACTTTCTCTGTTCCCATCTGGTCTATGGTTGTATGTTCTCGCCTCTAGTCTGTCTGGCGGTAGTCTTGACAAATTAATGCCCAAGCGGTTTACTCACCCGCTGTTTATCGACATAATAGTAGTATTGCAAGCAGGGAGTTGAGCCGACTTATTCTCTGACGATACTGTTTCTCACCCTGTCACTTCTTGTAATGTTCTATTTTTTTTCTTTGTAATCCCATTTCACAGGCATTGTTTTTACTTTGGTGACATTTTTATTGTCCATGTTTGAGTGTAGCAGTACCAAAGTAGTAATAAAACCAACATAATCTCATGTCTTCTTTGACAGTTTGTATTTCTAATCGGGATTTCTTTTCTTCAGGTCTAAATCAACTCATGATCGTCTTGTGCATCCTGACTTTCTGCCACATCCTTTTCTACGTCATCAAACAAAATTATCAAACAGTCGTAACACACGGGAATCGAGCAGTCTTCCAACCGGCTGGGATAAGGACGTTCAGAACAATAGACAAATGGATCGTTGTGGACAGCACCGAAACAGAATGTGAAAAGGTCAACTGGGAACCACTGAGTCAAGTTTTGAATCAATGGAATATGGTCGTAGTGGTGCGTGAGGCTGGCACGACCTCTGGATGCAATCCCCCTATGTGCATAGAAATATCACATGACTCCCCGGTGACTAATAGCAAGCTTTTGTCTTGGACTACTCGATCTAAAGAAACAACATATCTGTCTGCGTATGTCTGGGTTATGTCTCAAGGCGCAGTCTCTATACTTGACGTCA